ATTGCGCCCACCAGCGGCCGAGCGGTAAAGTCGCTGAACACTGGTATTTCGGGTCCGAGGTTCGAATCCCGCAAACGGGCTTGCTGCATGTGTGTTTTCGTAGTTTTCCGCATGTGTAAAGTCTATACGAGCCAGTTCCCTTAGAATGTCCTCCACGAAGGCATCCCTCCTCTTAGGCAGATAGCCTTAGTGTGCTCTGCCATAATTAAACCAACCGTATTCAATGGAATCGCCGAACTTACATTTATAGCTATTTTACAGTTCTTACTTTATATCTACACATTTTTGCTTAATATGTAACCTTTATCTCGCTTTCTTAAACATATTAATGATACATTTTTAATTTCCTCAAAAATAAACACAGACTTACAGAACGTTTCTTGCCATAATATTTACTTAAAAATTGTTATGAAATATTTTCTGTATACTCTTAGCACATGGCTATGAATTTCCGTTACTTTCTGTTTAATTTTCAGCTTATCGTGTCTTAAAATGTTTAAAAATATAAATAATTTTTATTACTTACTATGATAGATGTTTTGAGTGTTTGAAAGAAAAATTATTTATTTTCTTCGCGCGAATGAAACTGGCGTTTTATTAACATTTTACCCTTCAGAGTATTATAATTAGTTTAAGAAAAAATGCCGGGTTAATTATCATTCTTCAACATTCATACGAACGTCGGTATTCCAAGTCTTTCACGTAGTTATAAGTTTTCCTATGCGTAGTCAGAGCACGAGTGAAGTAAGAACATGTAGGACTCTAACCAAAGTGTCTCAGAAAGTTATTACAAGCATCTGTAGTTAGCAAAACACGTTAGTAAGTAGTTAGTAAATACTGTATATCTCCGATTTAGTAATAATAGTTAAAAGCGTCAGAAATGTCATCTTCCAACTAAACTGTGTATAATGTGGTATGACTATGTATTGGGTTAAGTATAATTTAAATTACAGAAAATTTTCCATGAATGTTTGCAAAGTGAATTGGCATGTACGTAAATCGCAGCTTAAATGTCGAAAATATGCGTAAGTTTAATTCTGGAGAAATGAAAAATAACATCAGTATGTATTCAAAACAAGAGGATATTAAAGAGTAAAAGAAAAAGGACAGAAGAAAAAAATTTAAAAGCATAAAAAATTTATATTTCTATAAATGAAAAAAGGTGGGAAGAAAAAATAATAATGTAGTTTCGAAGTAAAAATAGTAAGAAGAAAAAGTTTTAAAAAAATTGCCCTTTGGAAAACAGAAAAGTAAAAAATGAAATAAACTTGTGAAGATAAAAAAAAAAAAAAAAAAAAAAAAAAAAAAAAAAAAGTAAAACATTTTAAATTAAAAGAATAAAAAATAAAATTAAACTTCTAAAAAATGTTATTTTCTTAAAATAAATAAGTGAAAAGAAAAAAAGTGTGAAAATTTGTTAAAAATAAAATTTGCGTGTGTAAAAAAAGAATGCAAAATGAAGAAAAAATTAATTTAATAAAACGCGGCATGAAAACTAAAATTACAAAAAAATTATGTTTATAGCTTAAAACATTGAGAAAAGAGAAATTAAAATTTTAGAAAATAGAATGTTACAATTAAAACAGCGACAAAATTGCGTAGAAAGAATTTGAAGTAGTGACTTAGGAAAGCCATAAGAAATCTATGTCTCATGAGACTTTAAGAAACGAGCATGATGTAGTAGCTTAAAGTAGAAAGGATGTTGTTAGAGAAAGGCAGCTTGGACCTTAAAAATGCGTTCCTTGACATGCACACAAGATTTGTAACAACGAATATGTTCAAACCTATTCTCTAGCTGACGTTTACTCAAAGGAGTGCCGTCAGGATTGTTTTTCTACTGAACGCAATCAGCTATTTTCATCTTAAAGTCGGTGAATTTGAGGTAAAATGTGTGCCTGCTAACTCTGAAACGGGAGATTCAAATGCAAATGTTTTTTAAAATTAATTTAAAAGGTATTAATATTAAAATAAACACTAAAATTAATTAAAAATTTATAAATATTAAATAATTATATCAATTAAAATAATTAAAAATAATAAAGGTAAATTAATTAAAATATGTTGTCATCCTAAACAAATGTTTCTAAATCTTATGATTCAATGAATTATGGCAAGAAAAGTTATCATTCTTTAATTATAAGATTTGATTCAAAGTCAGTAGATCTTATAATAAAGAAACCTTTTCTGTAAGCCTGTGTTTATTTTGCACAGAATATTAGAGTCATCTTAAACACGTGTTTATATTGTCATCCTAAACACGTTTTCAAGATATAATTGCCACCGAAGAAGTCACTAAATCCGTTCACTGAGAAAGTTTTTTTTAGAAAATTAACCCCCAAACGTTATGGAGTAAAATTCTGCATTTTTTTTTTATTAAAAGAAACTCAACAAGTTTCCCATATACCACATAGTATCACATGGGGCTTACAGAAGTAAGTATGAAACACAATACAAAATAAACAAGAGAAAATTGAAATAAAATTAAGGATGATTACAAAGTTTTACAATGAATTGACAAAAAGTGTTAAAAGCACTTCTCTCGGAAATAAATTGGTAAAACTCTGGAGGCAGTAATATTAAAATTTTTCAGTCCCCAGTTTCAAGACTTTTCTTTCGCTCTCATATTTAGGACATAGAAGAAGCACATGTTCTACATTCTCCTCGCCGCCGAGGCCACAGTCACAGATAGACTCAGGACTCAACTTAAATCTGTTCAAATAACTTTTAAAATTCCCATGTCCAGTAAGAAACTGGGTTAATTTGTAATTTGTAAAGAAATGATGACACGATAATCTCATTTTAATAGAAGAGAAAAAATTCCTAGTTAAACTCCCTTTATTTGAATTAATGAATTCGTGATTCCACGACTCCACAATGCTTTCATACATGACCTTCTTATAGAAGCAATTAGGCATATTGACAAAAGTGTCAATTTCCCGCTTAGTCGCAGTCTTATCAAGGAAATCGGCTCGTTCGTTCCCAACAACACCTGTATGACCACGAACAAATGAAAATGAAACCGAAATATTTTTATTCTTTAGATTCTTCAGTTCTTTTTGAATCTCGATAATGATATTATTAGAAGAAGAAATACATTTTAAGATCTCCAAGGATGAAAGGGAATCAGTACAAATTAGACAGCACTATTTTGTTTAGAGACCCATTTGACGGCGAAGTTTATGCACAAAAGTTCAGCTATGAAAACGGTACATTCATCTCTGATTCTAAATTGAAAGTGCTCAAATTCAAGACCATTTTTGAAGACAACAAATGCGAGACCAACCTTGCCATCAATTTTGCTGCCATCAGTATAGCAAGTTACAGGCGAATCATCTACAATTTTATTGCTAAACTGAATAAAATTAATAGCATTTTTTCTTTCTGAAGGATGAGGGAGATCAGATAGAGGTAAAATACAATCATACTGAGAGACAGTAGAAGCAGAAATATTTTCCTTATAAGCAATAGAATGAAGAATGGCAATGTCAATTGGAGGAAAGCCAGAAATTGCATAAACAGACTCATAGCTTACGGTACGATATCCACATATGACCCACAGAAGTATCCGTCTTTGAACGCATCGTAAATATCTATAATTTATCTTCTTCTTGAGCGATATACCCCAAGCTCTAGAGCCATACATAATGAAGGGTGCAATTCCTTGTTTATAGATGAGCGAATGAACGTTGTAATTAACACCGTATGTGTTGCGTGCAATACGACTTAATCCACGCTGTAATCTATCACATTTCTCTGATACATAAGTTAAGTGTTGTTTCCAAGAAAATTTACAGTCAAGAAAAACCCCAAGCTATTTCATTTGCTTTACCACAGTCAAAGGGGTGCCATCGAGAGATAACTGAAATGCATCATAACAGATGTTTCGCTTTTCAATAATCATAATCCTGGTTTTATCAGGATTAAAATCTAATTTAAAACCTTTTGACCAATTGGAGGCGAAATTTAAAGTATCTTGTGCCTGTAAAAAAGTAGCAGAAAAGTCCCTACTCTGGAAGCAAAACAAAACATCATCCGCAAAGGCTATAGTATCACAACAAGCAAGATTTTCCAGTTTTAATAGGAGATCATTAATAATAATATTCCAAAACGTAGGTCCTGAAACAGAACCTTGAGGGCAACCCCTTTCAAGGTGACGGATTGCAGAAGCCGAGCCCAATTGCAATTGGGCAGCCCGATCATTTAAAAAATCAGCCGCAAGTGAAAAAATATTCATTGGAAGTTCCACATTTTGAGCAGATTGAGAATACAAGGCCACCACGCATAGTCGAAGGCGCCCTTAATATCCAAAAAGACCAAAATAGTGTGCAAGTTTTTCTTTTTTCCTCTCTGAACAATTTCATTCAAGCGTAAAAGAGCGTCTTCAGAACTTTTTTGACGTGTAAAACCATACTGATTACCAGAAAGGTCTCCATGACGGAGATACCAGCAAATTCTGTTAATAAAAAAGTTTTTTTTCCAAGCACTTACCCAAAACAAAACAGGAAGTAAGCTTATACATCTAAGGTTATCTAGGTGAGGAATCCTAGACTCATTTCCTTTAGGAATAAGAATTACTTGAGCATGTTTCCAAACACGTGGGAAAATGCCAACATTTAGGCAAACGTTAAAAAGTTTATGGAGAAATCGAGGAAACATTAAATGAAACTGTTTAATAATAATCTCATTCGAAATAGAGTCAGGACCAGGTGATTTATTTGGTTCCAGCATAGAAATAACTGTATTAATTTCATCACAAGAAAACATAGAATCTACAAAAGAAGAATAAGCAGTACGCGCAGCTTGACGGTATTCCTTATGCAAATCATCATCATTTTCCTCTAGATCCAAGGGGAAAGATTTCTGATGCACAGCAGTAATTGTCTCTTCTAAAGAGTTGGTTGTCTCTCCAGTGGAAAGACAAATACCAGTTATTTCAATTTTTTTTCATGAAATCTCTTTTAACTCCATACGTGTAAATCTTTTTCCATACATTGTGAACATCAATGGTCGAAAGAAATGTTTTTCCAAGACTGAGATTTAGCATCGGCAAGCTTTAGATTGTAAACTTTTCTATATTCAAAATATTTACTTTTATAAAGTTCTCTAAGAGGCGAATTTTTACAACGCTGAAATCTACGCCTAGAGGCATTAAGCCTCTTTCTCATACAAAAAATTTCGGCAGACCACCAAGGAACATTGTGCTTACCATGATTCCTAACAGGTATGGAAATTTGAAATGCCTGGAGAAGAACAAAACTAAAATTCTCAACAAGAGTATTTAGGCGAGAACCGTCAGTACAGTCGTTAAGAATATCAATGAAACGGGTTTTGCGAGAAGAACAAAATTTTCGAAAACGATCCCAATTTGCTTTCCCTGTATTGAATATTTTAAAAGGAACATTTGAGGTGTCTCGTAAGAACGTAGAGAGACAAAATTCAAATTCAATCATCATGTGATCAGAAAGGGATTCTTTTTCAGACAGCCGCCAACTCGAAACATCCAGGAGAAGATCTGAACCAATAACAGTAACATCAATATAACTAGAACCCTGAGTTGCCTGAAACGTAGGTCCATAATATTCATTAATAACAAATAGGTTGTTGGCAGAAATAAATTCACTCAGTTTACCTCCACGAGAGTCCGAATAGGGGCTAAACCATAATCCAGATTTGCCATTAGAGTCCATACACCAAACCAGTCGATTAAGATTTTTGGACATAAAGACTTGACTAATTTTATGAAGGTCTAAATCAATGTTTCTTGAGGGTTCAAATTAGTATGAAAAAAGAGTGAGCACAGTTGAGCCAACACTAATATCCAAGGTGACCATATTATAATCCATATTTTTATAATCAAGAAATGTTGATAGATCACGTGATCGAATAATGATTGCCGCCTTTACATTGTCAGAATTAGGATCACAATAAAGTCTATAAGTGCCAGGATATCCTGGAAGAAAATTCTTGTAATAATGAGGTTCCTGAACCAAAGCACAGTCAATATCAGTATCAATATTCTGCATTGAAGGATGGTTTTCCAATTTGTTACATACCAAAATTTTCTGCAAGATCCTGATAGATCCGATTTCGAGTTCGTTGCATTTTGGAAGGAAACGAATCAAGGTCCAGAGTGAGAGAATCAATTTGGAATTATAATAATTGAAAAAAGTATTACTTATTCATAGAATTATGGGGAACTTAAAGTTTTAATGGCCAAACTCGTAACGATAGGAGGGTTAAATAATGAAAACATTTAAGAACATATTACTTTTAAGTAATGATAGGCTCAATTAAAATTAATTACGGAATAAATAATTTAAATTAATAAAAGAAAATTAATTAAAAAATAATGTCTTCCTAAACACATTGTTGCAGACATCGTTGCACAAAGCGAAACTTTGAAACAATCAGCATTCCATAAAATAAAAACAAAACTTTGAAAAATATTACTCCATTCAACTTGTTCGCGTCAGTTTCGGTCGTCTCATAATCCAAGATGGCATCTTTCTTGACCCAACTCGTTTTCTGTGACGTCACTTCCGCTGTCCAGTTACTATTCACGAGTCAAAATGGTGTGAAGGATTTTCAGCTACTGATTTTTCAGTAGTTATGTCCACTGATGTATTTAGTTTTCTGTCATGAAATGTACGCCCTCCAAAAGTTACGGGACAGCATGTTTTTCAAAGTTCACCATTGCAAAAATGTCAGTAACGAAATTCACAGTTCATATGCATGACAGTAACGAAGTTTAAGAAAATATATGCAAAAACAATAGCTACCCCTTTTATTTTATATAAATGAATACTTATATAGGAGTTGGTGAAAAAACGCGAAAGTTGTAATTTTTTGTAAAAGTTCTCCTCCTAAGCTTAAACAAGTATTACTCCGTGTCTGGTCGTTGCTTCCCATTTCAATGACTGACAACTTGATTGACAGCATGGAACGTCGCTCCCGTCAATGTATTGCAGCTAGGGGTGAACATTGCTTTATTAGAACCCATTTTTGTCTTGTTACCAGCCCATGCTTTCCTCAAAAGACTTTAATATGCTGTTTCTTCAAGACAGGATTTCTCTGCCAAAAGTGCACTTTTTTGTTGTAATTCATGTTTGTGTTGAATTTTAGAAACATTCTATGTCGCATTTATTAAAGAACTGTTTAGTCTTGCGAATGTCTTGTTTCTATGTTGCTTCATTTTCAAATTAGACACAAAAAAACATGCTGTTACTTAACTTTTGGTGGTCAGTCTTGTGCAGGTGTGAGATCTGCAATGATATGCATTGAATTACTAGAGTAAAGTTCAGAATAAGCTAACCTACCTGACCGCGATCTAACCCTGTTTGATAAAGAAGCTACGCTTTCTTTCATCGTTCGATAAACCATTAGGTTGTGTAAAGTAAATATAACTTTTTATGTTCCAAATATTTAGATCTTTTAGAAAAGATTCAAATTCACTCAAGTAAAAATTTGTTCCAGCGTCAGATAACATTATCTTTAACCAGTTTCGAGAAATATAGATTCATACATCTTATGATTGTAGCTGAAGTGATATTAGGTATAGGTATAGTCTCCAAATAGCTAGAATAATAATTAATAATCATTAAGATAAAACAATTTCCATCGTGTGATCGAGATAATTTATCACCTATGTCAATAATAGTATAGTAATACATTATAAAGTTAACGGATGAATAAAGTTAACGCCAACATGTTAGCCTTAGCTATAGCCGTCGATGTTGTCCTGTGTTTCAGTATCTCAAGTCAATCTCTCACATTAACAGAATTAGAACTGCTACTGTCAGAGGGGCTAAGCGTAGAAACAGATTGAATTTCGAATAGTTTCGACTCAGGTCGGGGAAAAGATAATACAATATTGTTACTTCGCTCATCATAAATTCATAAACCGGCTTCAATTAATAAAACCGGAGCTCAGAGATTTTCATTCAAAAATTCGGATTCCCTGGGTCAAAAACCAAAGAGGTGGTAACAGTGCTTCTAACCCCAACATCTCGTGAGTACTCTCGGTTCGACAGTATTTTAAGTGCTCCATGCCGAAAAGACATTATATTCTTGGAAATATCAATGCCTTCTTTTAGATTCAATCCCGGGCCCAATTCTGTGCCAGAAAAAGTGTGTTAGCATGGTGTTAAGCTGTTCCAGCCGGCTAGACTAACATCATCCTAACAGGGTGTCATTTTATTTATATTCAACGGAATGAGGCAAAAGAGTAAAATAGTACGAGATCTCTATATTTCGTTTAGTGCAGACTAATTAAGGCAAGTAAAAGCATCAATTCGTAGTTCTTTCTTTAAAATGGAACATAATTCTTAATTCTGACAGGAATAAGTAAGGTATAATTCGCTTCATATTTACAGAAATTTGAACTTCTGTAAATGCGAAGCGAATTAAATCTTTTTAATTAAAGTTTACCTTGTTTTTATTACAAAATTGTTAAATACATTTTTAGAGTTAATTTATAAAAATAAAATACTGGTAAGCGAAGCCTTGATGCACCCTTGTCATTAGTAAATCAAGTTTATATTTTTCTATATGCCAGAATCAGGAGTTCACATTTAAAGGAATTCAGCAGTAGATGTTCACCAGTTTTAGCTTTCACCAGTTTCCAGCTGTTTGATGAACATTTCTTGAAATGTCTAGGGATACAATACCATAAAAGTCTCAGAATAGGAATTCAATTGAGCCATACGTAGGAATAAACTAGGAAGGAAATCTTCATTTCTTCAGATCCCCAGAAAGAATGTTTCCAGTGCTGAAAATAGCTCTTTTTGGAAGTAAGATATTTATCCCGTGCAGCTTTTGAATAGTATCTTAAGAAGCTCGAAATATTGGTGTGAGTTGTATGTAACTGTATGGGCAAACTAACGCTCATGTTTAAGTATATTTTTTGTTTTCTATGAGAAAGGAAAACACCTTTTTTGACATTTTAAAATAACTATGCAGTTACCGCATAAAATCCTGATCAATTCTTGTTATTTCTGTTATACATGGAATGAAATGTCTTAACACGGTTAGGTACCCTTTGCTTGATAAAGCAATTAATGCTTTAAATCAGATTAAATTAATTAAAATTTTGCTTTAACGAGCTATAGAATATGCAATCTTTATTTGCTTAGAATAGTTTTCGGAAGTAACATATTACTTTGCAATTTTTTTTTCACTTGCCTAGCCGTAATTTGTAATAGATTGTCGCTATCATTGAGTTACCAAGCTGGTCCTGATTCCTTTTTCTTCTTTCATATTTAAAACTCTAATGTATCTTAAAAAAACACCTACACCAATCGTATAGAAAAACTTAAGTGTGTTAATATCTCTTAATATTCGTGAACTCGGTTTTGATCGAGAATGAATAAATAATATAATATGTGAATACTGAGCGTATTTATTTCCTTTGTTTACAGAAAAGTCTGGAAAGCAGAGCTTTCTTAGCATTTAACACTTCATAATGATTTAGAATGACTAAGCTATAGCCTGTTGAACCAAGCAAATTCACTTGATATATTTCAATTAATTTTTACAAGTATTAACCTTTCAACAAGTATTGACCTTGCACGGAAGAAATTTACAAACTTCTAATTTCCAGTGTGTTAAAGGAAAGCATTTGCCTCTAATTCTAATAGATCTTGATAACGAAATTTCTTATTAAGTTGATTCTTTATTATCTTAATTTAACACAAATAAAAAAAGTAATCCCACTGAAAAATAGCTCACTTTCTTTATAAAAATTATTATCAATTTCACTGGTATTCACTCAAAGTCTGTGCTAGCTATTCCTATGAACTCAATTCCTGATTGCAACGAACAATAATTTTTCGCATGACGTTTGGCCCATCTAATATTGCTGATGAGATTTATGCGTTGACGTCTTTGGGGAAATTTTCAATCTGCTTTGCATTTTACTACGTAGTTACTGTTGCTTCAACTTAAAGAATGCATCATCTTGACTTGCAGATTAGTTCAGGTTGAGTGGCTATCAGCATGTGAAGTATTATTCCCGTTTAGCATATTAAAGGTAATTTCGGAACCAAAATATTAGTTTTCTATTATTCTTTCCGGGTTCTGAAACTGCAAATGAAATATTTCACTTTCTTTAGGAGTAAATAACTTATTATTTTATCGAAAAATATTTCTTCAGGATAGTAAATGTTATACTTTGAAACAGAGCAATATAATTCGTTCTGCTACATTAATTTTATTACAGATGCCTTTAGTTAATTTCAAGGAATAAATGCAATTTACTTTTAATAACAGCCTATCAACGTAAGCAAAGCTTCACATTTAAGTTAATTGTCTAGGATATTTCTCCCGCCTTCCTAGTGTGCCTTCGTGGTGTAGTGGGCAGCACATTGAGCCGGTATTCAGAGGTCCTTGGTTCGATTCCCGACGAAGGCGGTTGCAAAGTTTTCATCTCTATGGCTTCCAAAAAATACCTAATGGCTCTACAATTGTTCTGCATATGAAGGCATATTAAATTTGTGAAAGCATGTTTTATTGTGAAGTTTGAAAACCTGTACTTTGTGTAAGAAATCGTTAAATTCTTCTTTATATCTTGTTCAAAAGGCAATTATACTAACGTATGATGAACATTTATTGTTTTAAGTCGATTTTAGTCTATGATAGATTAATGCGATATAAGTTTTGCAGCTCGAAAATTACGGTCCCTGTTGACAAGATCCCTTTGAACAAAGTATAAACGAGTCTTGTT